GAGTCAGCTGTTAGCATAACGGAATCATGTGATAGTGTTGAGGAGTCAGCTGTTAGCATAAAGGAATCATGTGATAGTGTTGAGGAGTCAGCTGTTAGCATAAAGGAATCATGTGATAGTGTTGAGGAGTCAGCTGTTAGCATAGAGCTGAGGAGTCAGCTGTTAAAACGGAATCATGTGATAGTGTTGATGAGTCAGCTGTTAACAAAAATAAATCATGTGATAGTGCTGAGGAGTCAGCTGTTAACAAAAAGGAATCATGTGATAGTGCTGAGGAGTCAGCTGATAGCAATGAAGAACATCCTATATGACTGAACTAAGGAACTAACTGATAGTGCTGAGGAGTCAACTGTTAGCATAGAGCTGAGGAGTCAGCTGATAGCAATGAAGAACATCCTATATGACTGAACTAAGGAACTAACTGATAGTGCTGAGGAGTGAGCTGTTAGCAAAAAAGAATTAGCTGATACTGTTGAGAAGTCAGCTTACAGCAGTGAGAAATATCCTATACTACTGAACTGAGGAATTAATTGATAGTGTTGAGGATTCAGCTGTTAGCAAAAAGGAATCATCTGATACTGCTGGTCCAAACATTACCGATTTGTGTTTTAATGCAAAATATATGGCACTAATTTAGTATAAAAACAGTTCTTTCAAAGGTTAAAGTTAAAAATTGCATCAAAGTGACCACAAGTTTCGTTAGCTGACTGAGGTATATTACATATGATAACAAATAGCTTTAACAGAAATAAAAATCACATCAATTTCTCACTAAATCTCATAGCCTCTGCTAAATGAATAAGCAGTCATAGTAGTGTAGATATCAGGAGAATACAGATTCCAGAAACTCGAAGATATGATGAATAAATAAGTATAAGATGGAATATTAACATGCCGATCTACGAATGAACTTCATACGTCTCCACATTTGTGATGTTTACTTTGTTCCAATTAATGTCCAATTCTTCACAATTGTACTTATACTTCACTTATATGCAGAAATTTTGTATTACTTCTCTGTGTTAGATACTCCGGCGTTCTTTGGTTAGGCTTTCTTCGATCGAGTTTTTCACCACGTGAGATAATGGTACAAAATGATCATCACTAATATCTAGCATTTGAAACAAAGATTATAAACAATGATAAAAATTTATCAGGAAGAACATAATAATTTATATATATATATCAGGCATCAGTTTTATCATTTTACACTTAATGTTCATCACACAGTGTATAATATAATTAATGTAAATTAGGCATCACTTTTTTTTTTGTTAGTCAAACTTTCTATAACAATCATCAATGTGTAACATGACTTAGAAAACAGATGTAAAGATTCTACAGCAGAACAATTTTGACATCAAATTTATGCCATCCTCAGGAAACCAAAACCGAACATTACTAAACAGGAATGTAGTGCACTGAATCATCTAAAAACGGTACAACACAATTAAGATTCTACCATCGAACAAAACAAACAGTTCAGCAATCCTAGACATTAAAGATTATGACACAAAGATCAAACAATTAGACACACACCAACACAAAAAGACCACCAATGACCATACAGAAAAGACAAGAGAGAGTCATCAATAGAACACTGAACAAACTTAAAAACAACAAAACTTAATCAATGAGAAGCTAGCCAAGAATTTAGAAACCACCCTCCACATTTTTATGGACTATGATACACAAATACAACATACCTTTAAGACCTATCATCAGTGTGATAAACTCACCTTGCACCCTTCTTGGTACCTATCTTATCACCACTACAAGGGAATACTGAGCATAAGGTTCATAACTAGAAAGATTTCACAGAACTCAGAAAACTACAAATTAGATCCCAGGATATTCTTGACATTAAGATCTGTTTACTAACATTCTGACCTCAGAAATCACCAAACAATTTATGTTGAATGACAACATTCTTAACACACAGAACATCATGGAACTGTTTGCCTACAATCAACTTACTTCCAATACAATGAAGATTCTATGAACAGTCTAGTCTAGTCATGGGATCACCACTCTCTCCATCTGTGATCATTAATATATTGAATTTTTTAAGTAATAGAAATGTGTGATAATTAATATATTGAATTTCATCAAGTAATAGCAACGTGTGTTCATTAATATATTGAATTTCGTTAATAGAAACGTGTGATCATTAATATATTGAATTTTTGTAAGTAATAGAAATGTGTGATAATTAATATATTGAATTTCATCAAGTAATAGACATGTGTGATCATTAATATATTGAATTTCATTAATAGAAACGTGTGATCATTAGTATATTGAATTTCATTAATAGAAACGTGTGATCATTAATATATTGAATTTCATTAATAGAAATATGTGGTCATTAATATATTGAATCTCATTAATAGAAACGTGTGATCATTAATATATTGAATTTTATTAAGTAATAGAAATGTGTGATCATTAATATATTGAATTTCTGTAAGTAATAGAAACGTGGGATCATTAATATATTGAATTTTTGTAAATAATAGAATCATATGATCATTAGTATATTGAATTTCATTAAATAATAGATACGTGTGTTCATTAATATATTGAATTTCATTAAGTAATAAAAATGTGTGATCATTAATATATTGAACTTTAAAAGTGATAGAAGTGTGCATGTTTCCATATTGAATTTTAAAAGTGTGCATGTTAATATATTGAATATTAAATTCTGCTATTTAGAAGCCAAACAAGGTGGAGTTGAGTCAGATTGTAGAAGACAATAAACTTAGTATTGGACGTAGCTTTGCCTTCTGCTACTACTCATCTTACCTGAAGCTTGTGATGAATCCGGATTGTGGATTGAGTATTTGTTTATTTGTTTTGACTTTTCTTAATAACATATTTTAATGTTATATATTTCTATATATCTTTTAACTCAAAAAATATTCTTATGTTAGTAAAACCCAAAGATCTCATAATAAAGCAAAACTGACTTAAATTAACAGTTTCAATAAGATTCATTGTGTATATATGAAAGAAACAACATCAACAAAAGTTTAATTTTTAGGCTTTGCATTAGTATTGAGGAACTACTTATAAATCAATGCATTCTAATTGTTACAGAGTTTATTTTTGTCATGTATTGATTTATAACATTATATATTTCTTTTATAGAATGTGATTGATTAACTTTTAGGTTTCTTTCTAGATCTGATCTTTAAAGTTAGTTTTCTTGTCGAAGTAATTAATAGTAGAATATGCCTGACATTTGACAAGTCTAAAGTGAAGTATGTGTAACATAAGAATTGAAATTGATTGTTTCACAAGAAAGTAGGCATAATGTTTTATATTGGTTGCAAAAGTATATTCAACATTTGATATTGACTAGTGGAAATACTTCTAACATTGCACACTAATATGAATATAATTAAAGAAAAGTTTCTTTGCTTGTTTTTGCTCTTTTTCATTGTCTTTAGAAAATAAAAATTATGAGTGGGTTTTATTTTTCTATAATGCTTTGAAATAAAAGTTTTAACTCATCTTTAACACAAGGTTTAATGTACCTTTGAAGTATTCATTTTGCATGACATTTTCTGTGTTAAAACTTCTTCCTGTTATATTTCTAAGGTAGTTTTTTTTAATTTTGTAATTTATATGTTAACTAGGGTGCATTATGTTAATATAGACCTAGAAAGTTCTGACACACCATCAGATTTTTCATGTACATTCAAAACTAGTTTGTAAATATGAGATAATTGGGAAGCTGACAGTAAGTTTTTCAAGATGACAATCAAGTGAATCAGTCAGTGTTAGCTATTGTGGATACTTTGTGCAAATAAGTTGATTTGATTTTATGTTAGTCCTGAATTGTAACAGATTTTTAACATAGGCTTACAACAACTTATGACAGTATACAAGTGTTCAAACATTAAAGGAGGAAATAACGTTATTTTTTCTTGTCACATGGTCTTAGCATTAAATTATTTTCATAAAATATAATCACAGTGAAATCACAACAATATTATACTTAAAAGATATTTTTAACATTTGTTTTCTATACACTTTGTTTTTATGCAACATTTATTCTCTGACAGTTTCTTTTGTTTTTGAACATAAAGATAATTTGCTGCTTTGTTTTTGTGCAGCATTTCGAAAGAGAATTATGGAGTATGAACAGCAATATGGCATCTCTATCCCTGTGAAGAAACTATTTATACTCATCACAGAGTCAGGTTTTATCCACAGTAACCTTGAGCATTATGGAGATGAAAATATCCAATGTGCTAATCAACTACCAGATCTAGAGCGGGACAGAGCTGGAACACAAAAACGAGCATATAAGAACACGGTATATGAGATCAGTGTGAAAAAAGATGAGGTAATAGAAATTCACTGTACAACATATAAACAGTACATTGCTAGTTTTCAGGAGTCTTGAAAGGACTCAAACATGAGTCAATAAAAATCTAACTTGATGTACAGGTCTTGATATGGCCTGTGAAAGGAGTTCTGTATGTATGTATGTTGTGCTCAAAAGGCATTTGCAAGGGGAGGACAAATTGATTTTATTGTTATTTTTTATCATGTTTGAATTTTTCTTTAAATTAGCATATGTCTTGTCTGAGGTGTCTGTCTTCTTCAGTTAGTAGATATAACTTTAAGATTATTTTTTGTTGCCTTAGATTCATATAACAAATTGTCTTTATTTACAGGTACTTCGATGCGTAGTGGAAGGAGCCACACCTCTTTTGTCCATGAGAGAGATGTCAAAAACAACCAATAGTGGACTATCAGTAAACAAACTAAATGAAGAGATTCTCCAGTTCTACCATGAACTCAGTAACCTTCTGGAAGCTGACCCAAGTTGCTCCAATTGTTACGAACTTATATTTTACAAAGGTAAGATTTTTAGTATTGTATGTTAATCATAATAATGATAATTAACACTTTGAAGATCTTTTGATGCATTGAAAGAATTTGTTGAAAAACAAACTTAATCAAATTATGTATAAAAATGAGGAATAAAGTGAATAAATGAACTTGTAAACTTATATACAAGTTTTATATAATGACATTTAAAAATGTAATAGTTTTAACTCTTTGTACACAGTTTCAGTCATTTTGACCAACTTTGTAAACCATCACCTTGAAACTTTACACTTTCTAGTAATGCTTCCAAAATATATTTACACTCCACTGCCACTTTAGCTATTCCTCAACATTAGCTTTGCTTATCTAAGCATTGGTCTCTCATTATCCAGTCTTTTATACCCTACTTAAATGCCCTTAGCAATATCTAATTTGCAAATCCCTTCACTCATGTCAATGTGCCCTCTATCCTGACACTGTATATAAGCACCTTTCTCAGATAATGTAATCACTTTTTCGTGACAAAGTGTTGGTCACGTCTTTTTTTGACGAAATGCTGTGGTTTTTTCCGCTATGGATTGTGATTTTTGTGTCACCTTGCAGATTTCTGAATAAACATAATTTCTTTAACAAACAAAAAATGAATGTGATATTCACAGGTAGGAATTCCTGTATTACCATTGCCAGTATGGCAGTTAAACTGACCTCTCCTATTCCACCTTTTTTATCTAGCTTCTCTCTATGAATGGGGGTGGGGTCATTCTCAGTTGAGGCTGTCTGTGCTTTGATCCATTGAGAAATGGAGACATACATTTGGCCCAGGGGTGTTTTCTTCTGGAGCATCTGAAGGTTTTTTTTGTTGTTGTTGATCATGATTTTTCTGGGGAGAATTTGGAGAAGTCAGCTTCTCAAGAGTCCAATTTGGATCACCCATCTCCTACTCTTTTTATTCAATTAGTCATTTAGGCTTATGAGATTTTGGGACTTTTCTCAGTGACCTTTGAGGCTCCTTCTCCCTTGATGGTGGAATGGTTGGGGGGGGATAGTTAGTTTTTCCTTCTTCACCTGATATTTCTGGTTTATGTTGAGATTTACTACTTTATTTTGTGATTTGATAGATATACCTTGTACCCTCATTCGTCTGTTGGCATGCTTTGGCTTTCCACCTCCAGCTGTTCATATTTTTTTCAATTCCACAGACTAAAATCATTTAATTTTGAATATGTAAGGTTTCAGATCGGTTTATGTGATCACCAATCACTTTGCTCCTCATTCTTGCTCTGCGATGTTTATTCCCCAGCAAATTGTTCACAAACTATCACTGGTCCCCACATCAATTTGTGGATGAATGGGGGTCTCTTACTGACTTTTATCTGGGCCAGATTGCCTGCTTCTGTTCCTTCTGTAAAGATACATTGGTGAAGGGACTTTGTTTTCCTGCTGTAGTCTCTGGGTGTTATATGTGGCTTCTTTTTATCATCCCTTGAAGTTTGCATGTGTCCCAGAAGCATGCAGATCCATGGGTATTTCAGGTTCTGGTATCATGGTTGGTCTTTCCATTCAATTCTCCATTATACATTCACCATGTGGTATTCCTACCTCCACATGATCAGTGGTGTGTGAATTTTCATTTCATGGCTATCAGAGTTACTGATCACGGAGGTAGTATTGACAGTTGATCCCATTCTTTTGGGATTCACAGATGATTGTCATTCTTTATCATCTCAACCCATTCTTTATTCCTCCCCTGTCCACAATGGAGTCCTTTCTCACCCTACATTGGCATTCTTCACCAGGCCTGTGGATGTCCAGTTTTGAGGTTGCTGAGGCACCTCCCCACATACTCATAATGAATTCATCTTGCCTTAAGCTAGGTTTTGTATACACTGATCAAGTTCTACAGTTCAGGAATCTAGCCTTTGGTCTAGCATCAGCACCATATGTCTTCTGCTGGGTTGTACAAGTTCTCACCATTTTTTGCGCCTGGCTTAGCCACCTCCCATTCAGCTCCAGGCTATGGAATGAGCTGTCAGGGTCTTAGTTACAGGGAAGGTTTTATCTCTGGGGTTGTGGACTTCCCTCAAATCTCTTGATCTTTTGTGATGAGGACACATTCCTTCAGTGGTCCCATTGTAACTAATGGACCTAGAACTTCAATACACTGGATTTTCAAGTCCCTATCATCAGGAGCAAGATCTTAGTTTTTGAGTGGTGGTTGGTTTAGATTAACTCTTATCATTAGCATATGTGGGTATATCATTGTATACTGCCACCCTGTCCATACTTTATTTCTTTGTAGATACTTCACTTGCATCTTCAAAGTCAGGAATGCCAGGGTATATGAATGGACGATGAATCTTCATTCTGCATCAGTAATTTCAAACTTCTTTCTGTCCAACAGGCAATAGTGCAAGGTCTAGATCTCTTTCAGGGGAATATCCCCATGAAACATGTCATCAATTCTAGCGGTCTCTTAAATTTGGTTTTTTCTCAATGGAGCCTATTCCAATCATATCAGCCTCCTGGCTTGCCATTTTCCTGGGGTGATGGATTTCATAGCACATTGTCAGTCTCAGTCCTCACTTTCTCCTGACCAAACAGATTCTCTGTTGTGCAATTTTCCAATAGATTTGTTCTCAGTTTAGGCCTCCAATAATAGCTTTTGCCAACATTGATACTCCACTACATGCTTTGGAGTCTCCACTTACTCATCCTCAGGCTTGGATGGTAGATGCATTCAGTCCTACTTAGATGGTATTGCTCATCTATGACTTTTCAAGTAGGATATGATAGATTTTACAGACGAGGAATCTTCTGAGAGTTACATCTCATCGGTTTCAGCACATTTATGTCTTTCACTGCCCATTTCTTTGATTCACTGGCGGAAATTTTATGGGTCTGTATGAGGACTTCTACTAACGTTTTTCTCTTACATTCTTTATATGATCTGGCAGTTTTCTTTCTGGGGGTTTTCTACTACCCTCCCTGGTCGTTTTAACAACATGTGCTAGATTGTATGGAGGAGGGAGTAATCTTGTCTTTCTTTTTCAGGGCCACTTACATTTTGCTTTTACTGAATCCCACTCTGTAGTGAGTGTTGCCCATACAGGTGTGTTTTATCAATCCAATTCCACAGTAGCAATCCACTTGACTATACTTAGTACTGGTTGGTTGCAACAGGCTCTGTAGAAATGAGGTGTTCCATATGACCATCTAGGGCATTACCAGATGGTATTACCATCTTCTCATGGACTGCTACTCACGGACTATCATGAGTAAGGCTAAAGTGGATTCTGCCTGTCCCTGCTGATCATCAGATTGAATAAATTGGGGTCACTTTGCTTTTAAAAATTTAGGGAACTTGTTCACCTATTGCACTGTTTCCAGAACACTTTTCCTCAGGACTCCCTAATGCATATTACTCCCCCAGATTCTACTAGTGGATCTAATGAGTCCTTACCACACCCAGTTTCCAGTCACTGGGGTAGTGGACAGAAGCTTTTGCTCAAATGTTTGAGTGTGTTCTTCCACTCTTAGAGAAAAGGCAAAGCTGGGGGGCCCTCCTACTCGGGTCCCTGGATGTTTTTCCCAAATGTCAGTAGGAATAACACCAGCCTATATGGGCCTACTTGTAATACCGGTTCAGATTTGATGCTTCACTGTCCAGTTGGGGTGTGCATGGCCCTTCTGTTTGATTAATATAAATTTGGTACATTGTTCATGGAAGAGGGCTCATTATCTCCTCATAATTCTGAACATGGAATGGTTCCTTGGTTGAATACATTGTACCATGTTCTCTTCATAATTCCAGGGGCAATTGGAATGCTCCTTGCCCACTCAGTTGGAGAGTGAGTATGAATGCTCATTATTCTAAACCAGATGTGTTCTGTTCCTTTGGTTGAGTAAGGCATATATGATCCTGTCATTCCGAGCCTGGGGTGGTGCCTATCAGACTTCTTCAGGTGGAAGAGAAAGTTTGTCCATTTCAGTGTTGCTTCCTTTCTCATCATAATCTCGGTGGTTCATAATGCAACACTCTATGGCTACAGGTTGGGATCCAATCAAAAGTATATCCATATGTCACATTGTGGTCCAATTGTATTAGCCAACAATGTGGGATTTAGGGACCATGATCCCTTAATTTCAACCCTGATTTGTGGAACCTCATCTATCTGGTTGGGGCTGGCCTATAATAATTACTCATGTACTATTCCATCCTTGATATCAATATTATGTATTGGTTGAAGAGCATACATGTTCTGGATGTTGTTCAGTTTCCCCACTTGGGTACCACTCTTATCTTGGTACACCCCTGTTCTATACAGACACTTTCTTTCTGGACAATGCCCTCACTGGCCCCTCCACCTTTTCAGTGTGGGATTATAATTAAAGTGGCAGTGGAGGTTAAGTATGTTTTGGAAGTTAATATTTTTCTAAAATGAAAATGTATTTCCAATAATACTTACCTTCACTGACACTCTCTTGCCCTTTTCTCCTCACTAAGAGCTGGTGTTGGTGACTGGGATGGTGTAAAAAGTGATTACATTATCTGAGTGAGTTGCTTGTATACAATGTCAGGATGGACATGAGTGGAGGGGTTTGCAAATTAGACACTGCCAAGGGCATTTAAGAGAGGTATAAAAGACTGGAGCATGTGAGAGCAGTGCTTAGATAGGCAAAGCCTATGTCGAGGAGTAGCTACAGTGTCAGTGGAGGTAAGTATTATTAGAGATAACATTTTCCTAAATTGAAAATATAACTTTTGTAACAACGAAAAAAAAAGTTTGTCAAAAATAAAAAATTCAATACTTAGTCTAAAATCTTGTCATTCTCAGGGTTTTGTACTCATATGATAAAAGTTCACATGGAAAACCAACCCTAATTTTATGTGTGTGTGGTCACAGAATTAAAATATGCACATTAGAATATGAAATATTTTCATTAATATAAAAAAGACTATCCCAAAACTAACACAATTTATCTGGCTTCCTAAATAAGTTAGAAATAATTTTCGTACTTAGTCAAGCAGAGTTCTAGTACAAAAAAAGGCCTCCTAGTCTTGTCCTATTTAATTAATTGGAATCTTCTCTCTCTTTTGGTTAGGGTCTCTCAGTGAGGCAGCAATAAGTTTACAGACTTACAATGCTAAAAAAATCCAAAGTTTGATTCCCTACAGGGGATTGTGGGGCCAGATAACAAGAGTATCATTAAAATAGTTCCAAAGAAAAACTTTGGTTTATATCTGCACATGAGAGGCTTTTTCTTCAGTCTTCCATGAAAATGACTATTAAAACCGTGTGATAATTAATATATTGCATTTCATTAAGTAATAGAAACGTGTGATAATTAATATATTGAATTTCATTAATAGAAATGTGATCATTAATATATTGAATTTCATTAAGTAATAGATACGTGTGTTCATTAATATATTGAATTTCATTAATAGAAACGTGTGATCATTAATATATTGAATTTCATGAATAGAAACGTGTAATCATTAACATATCGAATTTCATTAATAGAAATGTGTGATCATTAATATATTGAATTTCATTAAGTAATAGATACGTGTGTTCATTAATATATTGAATTTCATTAATAGAAATCTGTGATCATTAATATATTGAATTTCATGAATAGAAACGTGTGATAATTAATTATTGAATTTCATTAAGTAATAGAAACGTGTGTTCATTAATATATTGAATTTCATTAATAGAAATTTTCTATTACTTAATGAAATTCAATATATTAATGATCA